CAATTTATATAATTGATTGTATGTTCACACAAAAACAGTGCTCCATATTTGTCTAAACTAATCTAAATGCCCATCAACTCAATATCGACTTTTAAACATGTTGGATTATTGTCATATTGGAGTATGAAATATCCAAGGCTAAATTATCACCTATTCATAGGAGTCTAAAATCTAAAATATAATACAACATTTGTTTTAACTTTTCATATAAAAGTAATGTGTGTCAAATTATTACTGCAAATTAAAAAGTGACTAATTAAGTTGATTGTGTTTAGATTATGACTAATTTCTTTTGGCGTGTAGTCTTCATTCACGGTTGGTAAGTCATGTCCTGTCTTTCTCGCTGATCCAAAATCTCATATGTAGATGTTGTAACTTTGTTAAATTTTAAAAAAATAATATGTAAAGTGAATATATCACCAATGTATAGTACATACATTGATTGAATATTCGAATTATTACCTCATCTACTAAACTATTGTTGGATTTAATGGACTTAATGTCTCAATTGACGTAATTTTCTGCAATAATTGTTTTTACTCCGTAAGCATTGTTTTAAAATTTCAAGCATGCGTGATCATGACAACTCGTCCCCTAACAAAAACAATAATCAAAATGTAACATTTAATGATGTGAGTAATATGACAATCATAGTTCATAGTTAGAGCACTAATGCACACATGAAGTACTATTATTGAAGTAGGGCTATTTATATAATTTGGTGTGAGATGAGAGAATTGAATATATATATTTAATATATTCATAAGTTCATACTACAACTCCCAAATTTATATTAGGGTTCCGTATTTGTATTAAAATGCAATTCTTGCAAATTTGAAGATTCATAATACAACAAATTAAAAAAAAAAAAGTGTTACAATAAAACTCCGAATCAACACAAATTTTACAACACACATATGTCGACAACTTGTTAAATATTTTGAGGGACATAGTCCACGAGGCATGTTCCTATGAAGAAGACTATTTGCATGCAAGGTTTCAACTTTGCAAGAATCTCCACCTCATCCTGCAAAAATAAAAATAAAAATAAAAAGATTATATTTAAATTTATTTTAATGTACATGTACAATTTTTGAAATGTATACAAATAATAATTAATTACTTAAATCGATAAAAAAAATAATATATATCTTTGGCCGACGTTTTGGCGTGAGTGGAATTTTCTTCACTGCAGTAGCTTTTGTGTGAAAATTCTTAGTAAAATTGTCATTATACGTTTCATCTGCTCCATAGTGGATTTTCTATGAGAAAATATTTATAGTTGATTTGAATAATTAATTAGTTAAAATAGACACATTACTTAATTAAAATAACTTCCACATTTTTGTGATTCTAATTATTAATTAAAATATATTCAGTACGATATATTGTTATATATAAAACAATAGATCATAGAGATTTATTCTTACTTCATCATGTGGCTTTCTTGACTTGAACGATCCCCGACAAATCAGAGCTTGACTCACTCGGAATATTTTTCTTTGATTTAGTAGCCATATTACATATATAAAAAACGGAAGATATATATATATATATATATATATATATATATATATATATATGTGTTGATGATGAATTTGATGGCGTATTTTATAAATTAAAAGGTTACAATGTATTTTTGCATGACTTTTGGATCTTGTACGAAGGAAGGACGTGATTTGCTGATGAAGAACTCCTTATACTTGCCCCAAAGAAGTTACAAATTTAGGTAATATAATCAACATGTTGTCCACTGCTCTACTATCGATCTATATTGCTCTAACCGATTTTTGGGATCCCCCTCCCTTGTCTTAAGTAGTTTCTTTAGGTTTATTTTATCAGAACTCCTCAACTGCACCATCACCCCTGGAATGCCGATATAATACCACAATTTGAAGCAACAAATGAGAGGTACGTAGGCGTGGAACATCCACATTTGCCTTTTCAATTCCTGAGGTACCTTCTCCTTAACTTCATCGTATGGCTCAGCAACATATTCAATCTGTTTCAAAATGTATGATCAACTTAATATTAATATACACACATTTTTTCATCGATCATAGGTATAGTAAGTTCAATTGAACAATGCGAAATAGGAAACAAATTAGATATGAAATAATTAGAAAAAATATATATAAGAATTTAATCGCGGTAGAAAGAATAACAAATAAGTCAATTCTTCGAAAAAATTGAATCATCTTATATCCATTCTAGCTGAAGTTGAGAAAAAAAACGTCAGGGTCATGCCGTTCATAATACCTTGATGGAATCGAACTGTGACGGGAAAAATGTGAATGCTCGTTCATGGATCGAAACAATCATCGAAAAGGTTGCATCACTCAAATTGAAGTGAAATCGTGTAGAGAACTGACTATATTTATGACTCTCTTGTCTTAATTTGATATTAACGGTGTACGTTTTTTTTTTTGTTGTATATAGTTTTTTTGTATGTTAGCGATGTTTTATTATGTAGTCTATCAAGTGGTGCATATAGCATAACAAATATGGATGAATGTTTTTTGTGTTGGGGAGCTATTCTTTTGTAGGTTCATAACAATTCTATCATGTTTCATTTTATTATTAAAAAAAATCATAAATATGTAAGAGAATTATGTTTTAAATAGCTACAATGTAAGTTCTAATTTTTTTCCGTTAATGTAAATATCCTTAATAAAAATATAAAAAATCAAAGAATCCAAGAGTATGTTATAGGCAGAAAAATAAGAAGCAAATGTTTACCTCCGATTTTCTCAAACTCTTATATATTTATTACAAAAACACACCATACACATAAGTAATATATATTGCAACTTAATCATCGGAGGCACCTACGCCGAATTATGTGTATTGACTATATTCATGATTATCTTGTCTTAATTTGATATTTACAGCCTACTTTTTTTTCATTATTGTTGTGTATAGTTTGTTCGTTTGTTAGCGGTGTTCTTTTATGTGTTCTATCAAGTTGAGCATAAAGCCTAACTAATATGGATGAATGTGTTTGTGATGAGAGCTCTCCCTATGCAGGTTCATAACAATTCTATCATGTTTCATTTTGTTATTAGAAATAATCATTAATATATATGAGAGTTGTTTTGAATAGCTACAACATAAGTTCCAATTTTTTTTAGTTGATGCAAATATCCTTAATAAAAATATTAAGAAATCAAAGAATCCAATAATATGATATAGGCAGAAAAATAAGAACCAAATGTTTAGCTCCGCTTTTCTCACTGTCTTATATGTTTTTTACAAAAGCACACATACTTACATCGATTACCGACGGCACGTGTCCGTATTATGTCACCACTCGTTCTTGCATTCTGGCTTATGTTTCTGAACTCAGTTCATTTTTTTGGTTTCATGCAGATTTAACGTCACTTTAATTTTCTCCAACGCTTCCTATCCCCTTTACAACATGCTTGTATATATATATATATATATATATATATATATATATATATATATATATATATATATATATATATATATAATATTATGTTTCCTTTTTAAAAAAAATTCCATCTTTAGTTATTTGAGATTATATTCAATCTCACAATATAAATATCAATTTATTTGGTTAATGATGATGAAATAATGTTCAACATTGTGCACATGAATAGAGTTTGATTGATAAAACTTACTTTGATATTTACTGTAAATTGTTATTAATATAAAAAGTCGTTTTATTTGAAGGGGTTCTTCCACCTAATATCGCCGATCCAAGGTCGCACATATAAGTATTGTAACTCTGTAAGTTACAAATTATGTTAAGATAGTATAAACATGTACACATAGTATTTATAGAATGTGGAATTGAAAACTACTTGATCGAGTAAGACGCCATCAGGCTTGATATCCACCATAACATAGGTTTCTTGAATCACTGATCAAATGACACAATAATTGTAGTAGAATTCTAAGAGTGTCATGTGTGTTCAGAGTAGTACCCAACAAAGAAAACACGAATTGTATATAATCATAAAGTAAATGAAAAAAAATATAACTAGAATCATTGATTATAACAATAAAATTACTTTCTTCAAGTAAGTTTTTGAGGCTATACGGGAGAAACATCAACACAAAATGATTTTCCTTTTCAAAGCATGTTTGTAATAGTGAAGTTATATAGGGATATCCTAGCTAGTTGCAGTAAGTTTGCAACTCATTCTTCAACAAAACAGAATGACATTAATGAAATATTATAAGATAAAAAAATAATCAGTTATATACAAATTATATTTTTAGTATGTTCATAAGTATTACGAATGTGATGGTAGACTTTACCAGACAAATGATAGTAACAATAATCTCTTGTATATATAAAATGACAACAAAGAACAAATAGAAAATTGTAGAAATAGAGTTAAAATATAAAGCGGGTATGGTGGATAAATATAAATATAAACGCTCATATGTTGCGTGAACCGCCGGTTCCGAGCCATGAATCATCGGTTACATGCCGTTAAATATTTTTTTTAAAAGAAAATACTATAAGATAGAGATGTAATACCAAGTTCTGCATTAACAAACAAAAAATTTAGCATAAATTAGGAAAAGCCTCGGCCGGGGCCGCACTTTATTTTCAGTCTGATGAGTTTATTGTTTCTGAACTGTACAATTCTTAGAACGTACTAACATATACTTTAATGCATGTGCCTTTATTATTTCTCAATTCTTTTACCATTTGAATTTTGAACAGTGTTTGTCATTTTTATCACATTTTCCAACCATACCATCTATATTTTATTAGTTATTACATTTAGTTATTTGAATATTATAAATATTTGATCTATTATATATAAAAAAATAAGCATGATAGGTTGTTGGTTTTAAAAACTACCGAAATAGGTACTTGGTTTAAATTCTTACCAGTTACCATATTTGGATAAGGTATAAAAAGAAGATATTTTGACCTATAACCCTAAACCTAAACTTAAGGGTATTTTTGACAATTCTTATTTTTGCAGTTTTTTTTTTTCTTTCTTTCGGCGGTTATTTTGAGTTTGTTTTTCCTCCACGACAGTAACAATGAAAAATAAAATAAAATAAAAAACATCACACGTATAGAAAACTGAAGACACGATAAATAACTACTCTTCATTTACATCTCGCGTACTCCGCTTCTCTCTCAAAAATCCCCTTGAGCACAAAAAACTGCAACTAAAAGTATTTTTATTTGGCACTACTCAACATTTATTCATCTTCCAAAGGCACGAGTTAGAGATTTCCATGGAGATTGAATAAACTCTCTTTTCACCCCTCCCGTAGAAAACCTCAATGGGATCTTCCAAGCTTCCATATTTCAAGTATGAATTAAAGAACATTTGTTGAATAACATCAAAAATTTCAGTTTTCTTAATTTTTCTTGAATTCGGTGTATATGTGTACTGACGAATTAATTTTTTTTTTCTTCAGAAATTAGGGTTCATGTGATTTGAAATGTTGTAAATAGAACACACACACAGACGCATAGAGGAGTAAAATCGATGAATTTGAGGTGCAAAAGATGTTCACTGCACATACGAGATCAATGACGCAGGATAGTTGCCCATACGGTTTCATCATTGGAATCTGATTTGTCAAAGACCAAGCAAAGGTGCGCTGATTCGACTTTGTAATTGGTGATTTCGACTTCATTATTGCTTCTTTTGTCGGTTTTTTTTTTTTTTTTGTGACTATGTAGACATGGTTAAAATTGAGTTGCTTTCTCTGTTTTTATTATTGAGTTGTTATTATTTATATGGCAACACTTAAATTCGATTATTCATGTTCATATTTTTATTTTCAAACCTCAATGGCCTTCTATGTAAAATGCTAAAAGTGATCTTTACGCCTTTTCTTCTTGATAGAAGTTGGATTCATAGTTACAACCTTCAAGAGACTGAAGGAAGAGTGCCTTCTTTTTTAGTATGTATGCTGTTTAATTATGTATGCAGAATTAGATTTTGATTCTTGCAAGTGATATTGATTCTACGGTTCATGAGCGACTAGACGTTGTTTTTATGCCCCACGATTTAGCTAGGAGACACTTTGGGAATTGATACTCATAATTTTGTCGATTATCTAAATTTGGTTGTGAAAATTCTAGATACGTTTATTTTTACCTTGCTTGCAATTCTAATTTTATAGTGACCTGTTTGTGAACTTATTTTGATTTCAAAATTACAAATTGTTGTAGGGAGCGGAAATACCCAAAGAACCTGGACTGAAATAAATCACAACACACGAGTAGATAACTCTTGGAGGGGATGGTATGTAACAGAAATTATACTCTATCTGTATCTGAGCTGTTTTTTGGATATTTAGTTTTTGTAATTCTTCAATTTGTGCAATAACCAAGTAAATTCTTAGAATACACTTTGAGTTCGACTATTCTAAAGTTTATCATAATACGAAATCACTCCTCTCGGGGACCCATAAGAGCAATCTCCACAAGAATGCGCGCAGAAGAGTTGTGGCGGAATATGCTACATTGCTAGTGGTAGTCACTCAATATTCATAATGCGTTTCCTGAGTTAGTTTCTTTGGTTCACTCATTTTTATTGTGTCTATTCTCCCCGATTTGCTGTTCTTATATAATTTTGAGATTTTTCTCTTACTTGCAGTATGTCCATTGACAAATTTGGGTGTAGAACTAAATTCACAGCTCATCATTTATGCTATGATGAATTTCTCCAAGGTGTATTCCAAATAGATTAATGGTTTATCTAATATAAGAAATCGGAGGGAAGGACACGTTTATTGAACTTTCTAGGAGCTAAGGACAGGTTTGCAGCAGCAAGTAGTGCAAGAAGTCCTCCTCTCCATGCTTCCTCCTGGTGCGCCTCCTCAAGCATTGCCTCTTTTTCGTATTTTTTTTTCCTGGATTTTTATAGACCTTGAATTTGTTTAGATGGAAACATTATTTATACTATGATATACTGAGCGTAATTCGTATCAAAATTATTTAAGTATTTAATAACACGAATATCGAATGTTCCTGTATTATCTTTATCGCGCGTGTAGATTGTATATAATGTAAAATGAATTGCTCGAAAGTTGTTTTGATTCATCCTAAATTCTTCGTAGGCAGATTTTATTTTTTAGTTTCTTTTTTGTTTTCAGATAGTTTTTTTTAATAGTTTATGTAAACTATATTAATTATTGAGTTTCACTACAAATAGTTTGGATACCTTGACGGCAATAATTACGAAAAAATATGTAAAAATTAGGCCTGAGTCTATGTTTAAAAATGCTTATTTGTTTGGTGTAATTGTATTTTTTGATTTTTAATTACTTGACACAGAGATAGCCACATTCACTCTGTTAATCTTTAGATTATAATTTTTACATTGGTTCTACTTTCATTTCTTATAATAAACATCTTCGTCAACGTATACAATTTATTTCATAATAATTGTTTACAATGACGATGGATAGATGTGCGATCAAATTATTCGATTCTAGATTATTTTTCCTATGAGATAATTTTTCATATTTAGGATCCCATTCGATACTTTTAAAATGTATAATATAATATAACAGATTGTTACGACTATTATTCTCACTTTCAATTCTGCATAAAAATAACTTTTTTTATTATTCACTATGAAGTTCAATTGTTCTATCCTGTACGGATGAAAATTGTATATTATTATAAAAATTTATATTATACGTTTGCAGTAACAACAAGTAGCGTGAGAAGTGCTCTCTCTCTCTCTCTAAAAAATGTAATTTTAAAATATATTGATGAGATGTATTGTCCTATTTTCTCTTTGTAGTTGTGGAAGGATCAATTTGACATTTGCCATCATAAAAAGTAGCATTAAAAATATTAAATTACATTACATTAACTTAAAAAAAATCATTTGCACAAAAATATAAAAAATAATTTCTTTGCTTATTATGATAAAGGTCTTGAGAGAGTAATGTAACGAGAAAAATTTATCCTGAGGTGCATAAAATGTGAATTTGGTTTAACCTAATAAAATCAATTCAACTGTGGAAGGTTAAAAAATACTTACTCTCGCCCGATGATTATTTTTATCTTTAAAAAGTAGGATAAATAAATATCACGTCTGCTGGGGTAGAATTGACAATTATTAGGGAATATTTCCTCAGATCAAAAAGATTTTGTGAAAAATCACACCGTAAGGTGATCAGTGCAATATGAGAATAAACGTCGGGAGAATTTTGGTAATTATGGATGGATGTGAGTGTTTTTCGTAATTTAGCCTAAGTTCATAGGTTTTCGTAATTTACCCTTATATCGTTTGGTATTCTTTCTTACCATATTTTGTTATCCCGAATAATTTCTCACTTACAATAAATATGCGCTTCCAATAATAACGCCCCATTAATAACTTCTTAAATCATTGTATAGCTACATATATGTTTCAAGAAAATCATTCATATTTAAAATTTATTTTGTGTTTTAACGGAAAAATCGGGCAGTGAATGTTTCATCTTGGTTGGAGATGGAAACTAGCAATTCTTGCACCAAAAGGCGAAATCCCTCGCCCCCAGGGCCAACATCCCTTGGCCCGACAAGGATTGATGGATGAATGTAAATCATGGTAACTCAACGGCCCGTTAAGGTAGCGGACCCGGACCTGGTGCCCACAAGGAACCAACTCATTGGAGTTGAAATTCCCACACTGCGGCTGCCAGGATTCGATCCTAGGACCTTGCACCAACTTACCCCTCCGAAACTAGCAATTCTTGATTGCATTCCATTAATGATAGCTTGAAGACCCTCTTACTTTTATAGCCATCTACTACTTTATTATTATTTTTTTTAATAATTAAAGAATATGAATTTTGTAAAACTAAATTATGAGATATGGACGGTCTTTCAATAACTTTTCTCATATGTTAATTTTAAGGATGTTGAGAAAGAACGGAATAAGAGATGACAAGTGATGATATTTTGGACTTAGACAAAGCCCCATGTTTGATTGTTGAATTGTGACAACAATTGTTAATTATACTGACCAAGTTCTTAATATTATATTATTATTTATCCGGTTTATTTACGTTTTTTATGGTGATTTGTTCTTGATTATTTAAGTTCAATATATTCAGCATAATAATTTTCAATAATTATTTTGTCCTCCTTTGTAATGGTATCCCGTGCAACGCACGGGTCATAGTTACTAGTAAATAAATAAATACACGACTTTGAATACGCATTTGACATTTTTTTCAATTTTAATTCTTAGTGAGACTCTACCCATTCATTATTACTTTAACTTTATTATTTTAAATGTACATCCTACAGTTTCACTTTTATATTTCAATTTAAAAGTGTTGTTAAAATGTGATATTTAAATTTGGTCTTTTAATTTTTAGAACTAATTAGAAAAAGAAATCATCTAAATTATATTCAAATTAAAATTTGTCCATATATTTTTCTTGAAATTAAAAAAAAAACATAGGCTTGTACTAGGATTGATTTAAGAGTTTTTTGAATGAACTTTGTTTGATTAAAAGTACAAAGTTTGGTGAAAAATTCGACCCAAGAAAATTTCACAAATCTGAAAAACGGCGTCTACATAGACATAAGTATTAGTTCTGCTCAAAATTCGATAACTTTCTTGTATATGATAATCGATTAATAATGCGACATTATGATAACGTAAGTATTTGAAAGAAAATGATGGGAGAGGGTGTTACATTATTAATTAATTATATATCGAAAATTGATACGATATATTATTTAATATATCGTTTAATTATTAGTTTAGTTAATATTTTATTATTAATTAATTATATTAGTATATTTATGATATTTATATGGCCGTGAGTTAGGGTTAGGAGATTAATTAAGTATTTTATTAGTTTAGGTAATTATCTTTCCTAGTTAGATTAGGATTATAGGGTTTTATTCTCTTTAAATAGTCGTATTGTGCTAGGGTTTTATTATGCAGAGAGAAATATTAAAGAATAGATCTTACGTGTCGTAGGAAATATTTGTGATACACAAGAGATCGCATCAATTGGTGTCAGAGTGAAGTTGCGATTAACACCAACGCTTCGTTAGCAAGGCAACGATTACATCAAAGCTACGCTGGAGCAAAGTTGAGATCACATCAAAACTTTGTGAAAATCATGATGTCAGAAACAAGACGGTTGGATCGATTGGAAAAATCCGTAGAGAAATTACGGATTAATTTTCAGAAGTTGCTCGAACAAAGTCAAGGACGACGTCAACGCCATCACAAAAGCCGAAGGGACCGCTGCCCGTCACCGCCACGGCCATCGCCACCACCGCCGTTGCCGAGCCTATCGTCGGAGGGAGAGGAAGAGGACGACGATGACTTTTTCAACGAGTCACCGCCACTGCCATTGCTGAGCCTATCGCCGGAGGGAGAGGAAGAGGACGACGATGACTTTTTCGAAGAACCCCAATTTTTTGCGAGTTCGCCGAATGATGAATTATCGAGTTCACTTGAGGTAATTTGGGACGAAGATGAGGAATTAACTAAGGAAGAGAACGAAGAACTACAGTGGATATTGGGAGATTTCCATGGTGTGCAAAAGAAATGAGACGAACAAGATTTGGTGACTTTGAATGAGCCCGGATCTGTACAGACGACTGAGAAAAATAAAAACATGATATTGATTGTGAAGGAGATGAAAATTGAAAAGGCAATTGAGAAGGTCGATTTGTCGAGAAAGAGATTGAGAAATTTAATTCGGGCAGATAGGTTCATCTTTGGAAAAGAGCTCAATTTTTCATCGTGTTTTTTGGAGTTAATTCGGAAGCAAGTCGATGAACAAATCGATGACGTCAAACATAGGTGGAAACGCAAAGGAGAGGGACCAAATTGGCTCCAACCTTGAGGACAAGGTTCATTTCAAGAGGGGTGGTTTGATACGATATATTATTTAATATATCGTTTAATTATTAGTTTAGTTAATATTTTATTATTAATTAATTATATTAGTATATTTATGATATTTATATGGCCGTGAGTTAGGGTTAGGAGATTATTAAGTATTTTATTAGTTTAGGTAATTATCTTTCCTAGTTAGATTAGGATTCTAGGGTTTTATTCTCTTTAAATAGTCGTATTGTGCTAGGGTTTTATTATGCAGAGAGAAATATTAAAGAATAGATCTTACGTGTCGTAGGAAATATTTGTGATACACAAGAGATCGCATCAGTAATGTTGGCAAATGGTAAACGGACAGCCGGTTGCCAAAATTGGCAGGTTGATGGGTATATGTGTCATCTAGTTTACTTAAAAAAATTGTAGAATTAAAATATGCACATTTTGCCATAGTGTCACTATGCTATCATCATTTTAGTTCAAAACAATTAACAACAAATCAATAAAAAAAACAATTTCAAAGTTCAAACTAATTAATTCAAATAGGCCCATCTACCCATAGTGCCACTGTGCCATCATCACCAACTCGTTCATAAAAATATCAAAGTTCATAGATCAAATTTCGGTTTACTATTAGCATAAAAAAATAAATAAAAATATTTGGAGATTGCGACAAGAAATTAGCCATATGCCTTTCCATTTGCCTTAATTAGAAACAACCACACCCTTTACTTAAATAATCGTATTATATTAAATAAGTTTGTTAATATTGTTGGTTGACCGACAATGATTGCGACTTTTTGCGATATTAGGAACCATCAACCGACCCACCACCCATGCATATGTAATAGGTCAGTTGTAATTACCTACTCGATCTGGTGAATCGGTTGATGATTTATCACCTGCGTGAAAACATGAGTTGATAATGGAACGATTTGGTGGGTAAAATCAACTCATCCCTACACTACTTTGTACAAAAGAAATATATAGTAACGTATGAAAAAAAAATTAGAGCATTATGGTTTAATAAATTGCCATATTCAGTTCTAAAATTTAAAATATGTAAAAATCAAATTTGTTCCATTAAATTGATTCTAATGTTATAAGAACTCTCGACACTAGCAGTAGCAATTCATCCATTGATTTAAAATATGTTAGATATATTCTATGATATGCTCATTGGCTAAACACACGGAATATTAATTTTGTTATGATTTGAATCATTTATTTAAATAATAATTATATATTCGGTATAACTTTTTTTTTTGTAATGAAAGAATCCGCAGTTATATAGGTGTATTGGGTAAACCTACACTCTCGTATAATAGCTTGCAAATCGTATGAGAGATATAAACTACACTAGGTTAACCATGTGTGACAAGCTCGACCTAACGGCCCTTGGCAAGGGGATTTTTTGTGCATTATGTTTTTTTCTCCTTGGTGTTTTCTTTTCTTTTCCTCGCTTCCACCGCGACAAAAAACACTGTATAACACTGCTATTTAGTAAGTTCCTTCGAATATATAATTCTGATCAACTTTCTGGACATACCACCAACATCGACTTTTGCAAATCTATACATCAGTGGGAACCCGTAGGCCGTCGAACATGTCACAAGCCCTTACGCGCCTCTGAAAGATATAGAAAATAGATTCACATGGACGCGCGCTGCGCGCACCACCCAGTGTCCAGATTCACGTGTGACATGCTCCATGCTCTGCACCTTCTATTGTGTCGTTAGAGTGATGTCACACCTACATCAGCAACATCATTCTCTCTTTACTAGTTACATTCACATTCCTTTGGAGTTTACAATATGTATCATGTTACCCCTTATGTTAGAATTAATTTCGATGATACAAGCGAAAAACCGATATGACTTTTCAAATATGTCCCTAACTTTAGTTTTCTTTGAATACAAATCTATAAGTAAAAATATTTATAACAATAAAATTTAATATGAAGTGATGTATATGTTTGATCTTACACGTATTTTGATTCTATCATTTGCTATATTTTGTCAATTAGAAATAATCCCTTGAGAGAGAAAAAAGAAAAAAAAAAAAAAAAACCTTAGGTCTTCTCTCTCTGGTAAGCTATTCAAGGAAAAAAAAAAAAAAAAGAACAGGCACCGTCCTACTCGCTTAAAAGTTTACAATAATTCCTATTACCCCAAAAATTCACTGACTTAGCCGTCAGAGTGCTAACTCCTGCATAGAAGTGTAAATGAGTCGAACTCTTCAGATTTTTCGAGTTCGAGCTCGATCTCATCGAGCTTTCATTTGATGAGCTCGAACTCGAGCCGAGAGCTCATTTATATATTTTTTTCTCTAAATTTTACATAATATTAATTTTAATTTTTTACTAAATTATTTATATGAAAAATAAAAAGTTATAGAAGAAAACATAAATTTGTGTGTGTGTGTATACATATATTATATGTCACGAGCCGGCTCATGAGCTCATAAACAACTAGAGATGTGCTCAAGCTCGAGTTTTTTCCGATCCGGCTCACCTCATTTATACCCATACAACCCGGCACAAGTCCGATTCTTTTCTTTTTCATGCCCTTTCCCACTCAAACAACTTTAGTAACCCAAAAGCAAGGAGGAAGTCGTTCGGGGTTATTTCTATGCTACAAAAGACTACACTGGATGATTTTTTATCACTGATCTACACACACCAATGTGGGTGTGTGTGTGTGTTTGTGTATATATGAATAATAAATATCTACCCAGTATATTTTACCCTGTGTAGCATAAAATAGACCGTCATTCGGATCAACCATGAGAAGGATTAAAAAGGACTCATTTAAGCCTTATATTATTTGAGAGTTTTCTAATTATATTGATAATTAATATTTTGGTTTATACTTGAATTGACTAAATTGAAGGATTTAAAACTCATAGAAAAATGTTGAACAAAAAAAAAAAAATTGTTGAAAACGAAGTATATTAAACTAACAACTGAAATGTATCATTAGCATCCTTAAAATTTATTAAGCATGGATCAAACTCTTTTTTTCCTTCTACCATTGGATAGCATCATCATAAATATAGAATATTTATACTTTTTAAAGCCCGCAGGATTAGGTTGATGTAAATGTATATTTTTCTAAACTTTTTTAAAGTGATGTTTCAAAATTTTAAAAATTTTGTTATAGTGTTTTATCTCTTTTATCAAAAAGTAAATTTATATAATATTTATTATAAATAAAAGTAAACTTAATGTTTATGATGGAATTACCCCAACCCTTTAAATCCAATTTCAAATTGCAATCCTAATTTCATCAATTTTGACCACCACAATCCGAAAAAATCAACGTTGCTGGAGGCCGGCGTTGACCGCCGGTCAACAGTGGCGGTGAAAAAAAAGTTTCAAAAAAAAAAAGTTAACACTGAAGACCAAGGGTCAACAGTGACAATAGTCAAAATTTGGAGTCAAAATTGGGTTTCGATGCAAAATGAATGATCTAATGAGGACAATACCAATTGTAATAAGAAAATATATTTCACTTTTATAATAACATTTATTTGTGATATTTAAATTAGAGTAACAACATGACATTCATACAAATCTAATAATACAAAGTCACGTAAAATTGATTGTCAAATAAATTAAGCAATAACTAAAGCAAAAAATAATTTTGGCTTTTTTGAACTTTTTTTATTCATGTTATGCAAGTTTAACTATGTTTTTTTTTTCTTTGAAAATTTGCATTTTGTAGGATTTTATTTTGCATTTCTTGCATTTTGCTAGTGATTCGGGCTATTTTGCCCAAGTCCAATAGATTTACCAATCAGCCAATTTACCTCTCCATTCCAATTCCACTAACCATATGTTTTGGGCCCAAAAAAAGCGGTCCATTTTTCGCTCTCTTCTCTCTAGAGTTAGTGTTAATAAGAAGATAAGGAATAGCCGAATAGGGATGACAGTGGGGCGGGTTTTGCAATCCCCATCCCCACTCCACTATGAAAACCCCATCCATATCTCTGTCAAAATCCCCGAACTTTATAAAAATAATCCCCATACCCGCCCCATAAAATCCCCACGGGTATCCGGAGGAAAAAAAATCCCCGTCTATGTTTTTTGCTTTTTTTTTTATAAATAAATACACAATCTACTTATAAAGTAATTGAAAGGTTTATTTCAAAAATAAACCAATATTTAATTATAATACTAATATTTAATTATATAATTGAAACCTAAAAGTCCCCATTTGTAGTTAATATTTAATATATTACTACTATTTAATTATTTATATTTAATATAATAATTAATAAATATATATTATATATATAATTAATGCGGGGCGGGTACGGGGACGGGTACGAGGCGGGTCTCAAGGCGGGTATAGGCAAACCCGACCCTGTATTCTTACCCGGTAAAAAAAAAAAATCAATCCCCATACCAGCCTCATTTTTTTTGGGGCAGTACCCGGAAATTTTAGGGCGCATCAGGGTAGGGATCCATCGGGGCGGGTCAAATTGCCATCCTTAATAAGGAATGAGGGAGAAGGAGGAGGAAGAAAGAACCACACATTGAAATATACACATACAACATCAAGAACACACTTTATATACACTCTAACACACCAAATACACGAAATACGATGAGGAGGTCCAAATGGACCTAACCAGCTAGAAAATTCCTAAAAGATGAGTAACAACTTTGAAAATTCCCATTAATCATTATGTCCGAATTTGGAAGGAAGAAATTATAAATTAATGAAATATTCGAAGTTCCACGCAATTCCGGGGCATTCCAATATAGGAATTCATTTTTGGATTCCAACTTTTTTGGAACAGAAATTTTAATTCATTTTAAACTTCCCAAAAAAAATAAAAAATAAAAATCCGAAAAAGCCATTTCTAATCCATTTCCACCTTACTCTAGCGTCAAATCCATTTATAAATAAGATCTAATGCCAAAGATATAAGTATACATGTATATGTACAATATTTATGTTGGTATTTGAAGATTTTAATAGTTATTAAAGGGCATTAATACAAATGCCAAAAATATATTTGAGGATGTAAAATATTTAAAATAGGATAATAGTAATAACTAATAAACATGCATTAATATTGTGATGAATTTTGTCACACGCGAATCCATAGCACAGATCTCCAGAAAAAGATTACAGACAAATGCAATTAAAAACACATCCCACAAAATTTCCCTATATTAAGGAAGGAATGTAACAATCTCCAATCCATAATCAAAATATAAAATAAATGGGTTCAATTTTCATCTTTCCCCTGGCTAATATATCAATAGTACTAGCTTTGCTAACCATCCTTTGTGAAGCTGATTTGATATCAAATATTTGCTCCAAGGCACAAAACCCTTCTTTATGCAATAAAACCCTAAAATCAGACAACCGTTCTCGTACGGCGAATCTCCGAGGTTTAGGTCAGATCATAATCGAAAAGGCAGAAGCTGCCACTCAAGACACGATTAATGTGGCCAAGTCGACCGGCAAAGGGACAGGTGTTGCCGAGTGTGTGGGGCTTTGTGTTGACGCTATCAATAAGCTGAAACAGTGCTCCGCTTTGTTGAAGGATTTCGGAAGAGGGAGCGTGGGCGATCTGCAGTCGAGAGGGTCGGGGGCGATGTTTCATGTGGGCTTGTGCGATGATGTGTTCGGCGAGGGTGAGCCGGTTAAGCTCAAGAAAGCCGTGCGCCGAGCGCAGGATTTCATTGACATGCTTCTTGCTGTTGCGAGTAGTTTGTGAGGAAGAATAAATGTTTTTTTATTGTGTGTTTTTTTTCATTTTTCTTGTAATTTTTCCATAGAGAGGATTATCGGTTTTGAACATTAAGTTTTTGTTTACGCTACCGCTAGGTACGTGGGGATAATTTTAGGGCAAATATACAAGTTCGGCCCCTCTGAACTAGGTAAAGTCTAATTACAAAAAAATCGTCCATGTTTGCATAATTACGATCACTCCCTTAGGTTTTCTCCATTTAATGTATTTCTCCTCACGGAGTTAATAGTGGCGGAGTCCGACATATTGCATAGAATATACATTTTGTAATGACCAGAATACCCTTAGGACTCTAATTGTAAGGTATGTAAAACAATTGTAATATTTTCTTTTAATATTTCTTTAAAATTTATTTTTCTAAAACTTTTTTTGTTTACTATTAACTAGCCGTTTTGTGTCATAAGGGATTATATGTAAGGTTTTAAATTACTTGAAGGGCCCAATGTGAGGTTTTATTGTTTGTGCCTAAACCATAATTAGATGCAACGGTCGCAATAAATTTACCGGATTCATCTCGAACAAATCCTCCCGTGTATATATTGTTTTTAGCCGATCCGTCCACATTGAGTTTATAATAACCTGCCAAAGCATGCTTCTATTGACACCGAATTGTGTTACGTTTCGTGGCCCAACAGGCTTTACAACTGCGATCCCTTAGGCTTTGATTGATTCATTGATTTCAAAATAAGGAAAATGCAAATGCAAAGAAAAAGGAAATCAAGGACTTTTGGAATCCAAATTGTGTTTGGTTCCTAAGGAAAATGGTGATGAAAATGATTTTGTGGAAAATCATTTTCTTACTTTTGTTTGGTTCCTAGGAAAAATGGAAGGAAACTATCAAATAAAATAAAAATAACAATGAATTATTACTAATTTCTTAAATAATAAAATTAGAATAACATCAACTTGGTAAAAATAATAGAGGCAAGTTCAAACTACAAAGTTCTTGCATTAAGAAAAAAAAAAATTCAAACTACAAGGTTCCAAAAAAATAAAATAAATGCACAAATTACATAAAACTAATTTCGAAGTCCAAAAAACACTATACATCAAACACAGTGGGACCGAACTTTACCAACAACCAAACTTTTCTTTTCTCAATCGGACACTTGTGAAAAGCTCGAGCCGATTTCTCATCCAATTTAAGACTTTGATAAACGGACATTTAAGAAATCTCAGACATACCACCAACTCCAGCAATCTCCTCGAGCAACTGCTCTTCTGTATATCCTTGTTCGAATGCAGCAGCAATTCTATCCACCCCCCCTCTCAATACTTTAATTTTTTCACTTACAATGTCAATAATTCTAGTCTTCTTTTTCTTTGGCTCTTCATAAATATTTCTGAATATTGGATCTTTAGATGAAGAAGTTTCATTGTCATCTCTATGGACTTCTGGCCTTGAGTATCATTGCCACTTGCAAACGTATTTTTTTCATTCGCCCATTGACGTTGTCTTTCTTTTGGACCAATGGCCCTACTTCCTAGCACGATCTTTTCCAAAAATCTCGTTTAACTTTTCATAATTGGGGGCAGGACTGAATCGATATTGGTTTGCAAGTGGTTTTGACCGTCAAATTCAAGAAAAATATATCAACACCTTGTAAAATGAACAGTATTAATTTAACATCAAGGGCAGCATGATATAAGGATCCTTATATGAAATATAACTTTACAGTTGATAAATATTATTTACCTTGATATACTCTGCCCACACTTGAGGTTCAGCTTCAATCATCTTATTTGATTCATTGTACCCAAATCCACTTTTACTTTCTATCAAGTCTTTCATCACCGCAAGGTGTTTTTTCAGGGTCCTCACACAATTCTTCACATGCGCAGGATCACAAATAATGTTAAATGCTTTAGATACCGCCATTGATGTAGCTCTATATGCATCTTTGATGAAGTTGCCACCAATCTTTTGCCCTTTAACTTTTTGCTCTACGAGTGAATCAATTAAACAAGCATCCATGTCATCACCCCATTTCAGATTTTTCTTGTCACCCACGATTGCATCTTCATTGTCAATTTCATACTGCAATTTTACAAGTGAAATATATAATCAAAAACATTTTTTTTTCTTCTAATAAGTCATAATGACAGAATAAAACTATTAACTTTCTAGATAAAAGAATTATTTGAAAAGTCGATCAAATTCATAATATGTATACTTACACAGGAACTTAAAAACAAAATGCAAAAAATATATGCATAACCTGATTTCATCTTACCATTCAATTCCACCCGATCCATCATCCAAATTTGTGGCATATTGGAAATGACCCCTGAATATTGATCAAACTAATATTAGACAGTGCAGCCAAATGAAAGACAAAACAAACCCAAACTTAATAAAATTATAGTATTTTATCAGACAAACGTATTAAGACCGACGACGTATGTTATATTTTTTCCACATATCCAGTGCAATACTTTCTCTTAGAATTGCCCATTCCCTACAATCATCAACTAACTTTGGATAAGTTTCAGGAGCTTTGGCTGCCAACTCTTTATCAACCTTTGCGATAAGTTTTTGATCTGGATCAACACCCATAAGATAATTGTGAATGATACATCCTGCCAACACAATGTCACTTAATGCCTTAGCGTAAAAGTGAGGTTCCGTCCCACTTCTCAAAATTGCAAATCTTTTTTTCAAGACTCCAAAAGAACGTTCGACTGCATTTCTTAATTTTGCATGGCGTAGATTGAAAAGTTCTTGAAAGTCTTGTGGACCATGAACACTATATTCATTAAGCAACTGAGGCCGATCCTTCCCAACTAGGAAGCACATAAGTAAACGTCAAGTCAAAATTGGATGCAACTAAAATATTTTGAGTAGGGAAAGACTTGTGACCCCACGATATCTTGGTGCATCACTATTTGAAACTTTGACTCGAATATGGGTTCCATCAATTGCACCTACACAATTTTGTAGCTAATTCATCAATATAATGAATGTAAAATATTTATAAAAGTTCTTTACATATTCAAGTATTTTACCTTGAAGTATGGCAAATAAGTTTGATTATCCTGAATCTTTTTGGAACACTTGTTGGGGTTTTTAATAAAAATAATATATTTTATTATAAATTATAATAATGACTTTGACCACTTTTATGAGGGTCATTAGACCACTATTTTGAAACCTTCAAAGTCATTATTTTCCTACATAAAATACCATAATTTCTATATTAAATTGAGGTTTTATGGGGGTTATATTATATATTATATAAAGGGGATATTGTGGCTTTACATGGGGAAGTGTGAAGAGAAAAAGAAACACTTTTCTTCTATACTATATACTTATACTTTGAGCTTTTGTTGTGTGTCGGGTGTAAGCTTCTACTTCACTCGAACGTGCAATTTCGGTGAAGTTACAGCGGAGAGATAGGCTGGGCTGTTGTATCCCATAGGCGACACGATCGGAACCTTTTTGCACCTCATTAGAGAAGGGGTCGTGAAATTCGTCTTAAGAGAGCGACCTAGTCCGCGCCTCACCTTGCCTATCTCCATATTATCGTGGTTTTTGTTGCAGCAACTTGTTACCTATAAAATTAGAGAACAAATGGAGTCCAAGCCTCATCCACAAGTTTCGTGATCAATCGTCAAAGTGCAGCCGTGGTTCCAACAATTTAAGACGAATTTTGATCCCATGAAGATGAGTTTTGACGATGATCCAAAACACGCTCTTGATGATAAAAAGGGAGATGATAAATTATATTTTATTGTATTTTGATTTGACGAAAAAAAAATTAACGATCTTATTTTTTGTATGGGTGAATTTTCGTACAATTCACGAGGGCAGACTTTGAGTCAAATTTCGGACCTGATATAATCATATTCTGAGAATGTGTAAAACACGAAAGTTGTAGGCATTTTTGTTGGCTGTTCGAAACATCTTGAATCACTGAAATCGGACATCGAACGAGAGAGATATGCTCAAAATACTGAATACTGCTGCAGCTGCCAAATTGTGCGCGTTTTTGAGGTATTGAAAGAATCGATAATTGAAAATTATCAAACTCTGGTATGTTCTTCGTTTATACATATTAAATATAATTTTTCTTGGCAATTAAATGATATAATAGCATGAAAATATTATTTCTAGAATGTGAAAATCAATATACTATCGTATAATTGTTGTTGTAGTCAATTTAGTGCATTTTATTATATGTATTATATTTGTAATTGTGTTTATAAGAGATATATTGATTTAACATCACCGTTGCATATAGAATATATTAATGATTTTTTGAGAATGATATTACTACTATTTGCTTAACAGCTAATAAATATTTTTTTCAAATTAATACATGAGTAATGAATTGGTTATGACGTGCTTAAATGCATTTACTCTGTTGAAGTTTTTTGATTAATGTTGATATATAGTGCATTAGAATTTGAATATAAAAATTGCGTGTTTTATAGCATATATTCAAATCCATTAAATAAATATTGAAACGTTTTGATTGTATTTATTTGCGCGAGGAACCGGTTACATATTCTAAAATTATTTAATCTTTGATACACTATTATGCCAATAATCTATGTGATTTAAATGATTGTGTATATTGAAGTCTAATTAGTAATTTAGTGGCAGAAATGACTAATGAGAATAAGGTTTTTAAATTGAGAAAATAACTTTGATAAATTATTTCTTTTTTAACATAATCCTTTTAAAATGTAAAGAGATTATGGCTATTGCCTCTATTTGAGAAATAAGCATGATTATAATTGGTATCTTAACTTTAATTCATGATTCATTAGGTGGAGTTAATATTGCATGTGATTAAATAAATTAAGAAATAATGGGTGCCTTAGTAATCACACCTAATTGAGAAAATGAGCATGATATATTATATCTTGAATTTAATTCATCATGTATGTGTTGAAACATTTGATGTGAATTAGTGGGGGTCTTAGAGAGCATGATCATATGATTAAACATTTTATGTATTGTT